CACACACACACACACACACACACACACACACACACACACACCATCTATAGCTGTACAAGCACCTGGGCTCTCCAGGGGATTCCTTCTGTCGACACACATGGCCATGATCAATAGCTTCTGGATCACAGGTAAACTGTAATTAGACTGTATAGTCAGACATCCCTGAACTTATACCCTGTTGGAGATTTATTGCTATTTTCCTGACCCTTGAACTTTTGAACTCACTTGCTCAGTATGCAGACAGCTACCTCTATCTCTAAAACATCCTCTTCCAGGCTCTCTTCTTCCTACAGGTAACTATGCTCATGCTCTACTCTTTAGGAAGTCACCTTCTCTACAGTGAAAGAAAGCACAGGTTCACAAGCCAGGGAGCCTGGTATGAACTGAGGCTCTGATGTTCACCACTCCATGAAGGCAAGGTCTGCCTGCTTGTATAAGGAGGTGATGCTTTTCAGTCTGCTCTCAGTGAAGTGTGGCCAGGGACCCAAACAGTAGCATCAAATTTGGGCAGCATTATCTATAGTCTTCCCAGAACTGACCAATAAAAAACTCTAATGCATGGTCTATTACTATCTTCCCATCTTCTAGCTAGAACCAAAGGAAAAGAAGGCTCAGGATGATGATGGACCCAAAATATAAAGAGCCTGGGTACCAGAATCTCCTTACAGATGAGCATCTACTTTGAGCTTTTTTGTGTGAATAATTGAGAATTAGACTTGCATGTGTCAAGACAGTGTAGTGGCAGTTAGCATAACATTAACACATTAGTTTTGCAAGTTTTAGGGCTGCCTTCTTCCTTGGGGATAATAGCAGGGAGGTTGAGAGTATTTGATGCACCAACACACATGTGAAACACCAACCTCAGAGCTATGCTGAACCTCCAATATATGTTTACTATTGTCATTGTCAGTCATCTTATAAAGATTTACTTTTATTTCATGTGTATGAGTGTTTTGTCGGAATGTATGCTGTGTAGCATGTGAGTGCAGTACCCAAAGAAGAAAGAAGAGTGCTTCAGATCCCTGAATTAGAGTTACAGACCCTTATGAGTTTCCACGAGGTGATGGAAACTGAATGGCAGTCTTCTGCAAGAGCAGTAAATGATCCTAATCACCCTCTTCCTAGCCCCACAGTTAGCCATCTTCTAAATAAACATTAATGATCTTCAATCGAAGAGGAGGGACCAGCCTGGCGAGCTGCAAAGCCACCCCCTTACCTTTTTACTTCTTGCACATAGTCTGCATTTCTGTCAAAGAGGTGGGTCACAGAATCTTTGATGGCTTCATGCTTGAAAGTAGAAGCTGTTCCAAAGACGGTCACATTGGGGACAGTAGAACATAGCTGAGCCACAGCTTGACCCTGGAAACAACACAGAGTAATCACATAAACATCACCATTCTCAGAGAGATGGTGCATAACATGGGTCAAGAATACACCACAAAGTATGACACTTGCAGACACGTAATAGATCTTAACTATTTAACAGCCAGTATTGCTGGGAAGAAGGCAGAATTTTACACCTTTGACATAGTTGACATTTTTGAGTTTGAATTCACATTTCTCAGATAAAACTGTAGGGTATTTACTGGCATCTTTGGCCTCTACCGTCTTAAGGTAATGAACATCTCCAACTCAACTGTGACAGCCAAACGTGTTCAGGCATTGTAACACTGTCTCCTGAAGGACAAAACTTGCATTGGCTGGCAACCACTTGTGTGTGAGTAAAGCCAATAGGAGCCAGATAACTCCAGCACTAAACTTAACTACTATTTAACCATGCTGAGCTACATCTCAGCAGTCATACTATCTACTCCATAGGGATCTTGGAAGATGTTTTATTTTGATGCTCAGAAACAAATTCGGAGAAAACACTTGAATATAAATGTTTTATTTGTAAGATAATCTTAGATACTAACAGGGTTACTACCCCAAAGGGGAGTCATCAAGATGACACATCCTTTAAAAATATTCACATTCAGAAAAAAAAGAGAAGATAAGAAAGAAAAGCAAAATTCTGGAGCATGCTTGTAACCTCAGTGCTGGGGAGGTGGAAACAGGAGGATTCTTAAGGCTAGATGGACAGCTATCCTAGTTGTCCAACTGAACATGTTTTAGGCCAATGAGAGAACCTTTCTCAAAAGAAATGTAGTTGGTAAACTGGAACAACATGTGAAGTTGTCCTCAGGAATCCCTGCAAAGGACACATGTGCACCTGCACCTATATACATATATGAGCACGTGCATACATATACACATATGCATACACACCGCCAACACACAAAAAGACCCAAAAGAGAACCCAGATGATTTAACCCAATGGTTCAGTTCAACAACATGTGGAACTTCAGGGATTTTGTTTCCAAAGAAAGAGTTGACCACTCATGTGTTATCAAATTCGTATCTACCATGGACATCCAGAGCTCAGCCTCTCTGACACCTCCCTGATCAAGAGCTTGTCAAACTAATTTCCATCTATTACTGGTTGAGGATTGCTTCTGTAGGAGTATCTCTTGACAGCTCTGGTGTGTCCTCAGGAGTCAAGAGTGCTCGTGGCTAGACTAAAGCCCTCAGCCAGCAAGCTTCAGCATGTTGCATAGAGCAGATATACATGGCTGACTGAAAGGGTCCCATAGGGAAAGGCTAAATGAAGTATTATACCAGACTGAGGACCTGGGACAAAATGTGATTCGGACTAGATACTCAATTAATCTTAATCATCTCTCCCCCTCAGGGGCTTATTATATCCAGGGCTAAAGATGTCCAGTCAAATAAAGAAAAGGTCAACATGTGGTTTAAATGGCAAATGGTCGAGGAAGGAATTACAACTGCAGTTAAGAGGGATTGATTTGTATCTCCTCTACCAATATGGTCAACATTTAAGACATCGAACAAAATTATGTGAGCATGTGCATTTCAAAACTTTCCAGTAAAACCCAATTTGCTGGTAATTAAGATGCATTAAAAGAAACTGTCATCACTGGTGAGAATTCTTTTTACCATTTTAAGGAGGGAGATTTTCTACCAGTCATCAGTCACAGTCATTTCTGCCTATCATCTTATCTTCATGTCTTCATGTTGGCAGATAATTCAAGTTGGCAGGTCAATTTATGGAAATGTTATCTTATCACCAATGCCAATTAAAAACAAGTTGGAGAGATTCATTGAATGTCAGAACTGTAAGATCACCCCGTGTCTCCTCCCCAAACACTGTCTCATAGATGAGGTGAAGGACCACAGCAAGGTCCAGGCCTCTCAGCTTTGCAGAAGCATGGCTGAGACTCAAACTCAGGCTTCCTGACTCCAGTTACTTCCATTTTCTATTATTCTGCTGTCGATTTATTTTGATATTTTAAGCTAAGAAATTTTAACTTGCTGCCTAAAATAGGCATGCCATTTTCACTGGGAGATCAACATTTTAGATTATGGACACAAGCCTAAGACTCTACACAGGGCACAGCTCTCTATGCTAAGGATAGTTTCGGTATTTAATTAATGCTTTGTACCAGATTTCACAGGACAAAGAAGGCTCTGTCTTCCAAATGAACATTAATATCATCAGCCAGTTCAGCAACTCCTTTAAATTCACTGACCTCATGTCAGCCTCGGTTACATCTCTGATGTAATATGGCTTGAGCAGACCCTGACAGTGATGGAAGAGGTTAGAATTAACTTTAACATCCTTTAGCCCCTTCTTCCTTCTGTTTTTGGACCAATGTGACATTTATTCATTCAACTAATTCCCAAATCCCCATTGTTTAGTTCAATGCTATTGACATTAGTCTCTATCTGGTGGATCCCTCCAAATCACATATCAAATTCATCTGATGCAAAACACAACTCATGACCACCGTGAAGATGGACTTATCTTTGAATCAATTTATGAGGGATGTCACAACAGTGACATGACACACTGGATAACTTCTACAATAAAAACTTTTCTTGAAGTTTAGAACTGCTCCCAAATCTAGGTGTTCATTCCTTCTGTAGATTATGAGGGAGATTTTTGCTCCAGGCCACTTTCTTTGACCTGCAGATGGCTCCCCACTGTCTCTGTCTCTTCACATTGTTTTCTCTCTCTGCCAGTTTCTTGTGTATAAATTTCATCCTCCTTTGAGGATGCCACTGACATGGATTAGGGACCATTTGCAAGGATCTCCCATTAGTTTGATTGCTACTTCTGTAAAAATCCTGCTTTAATTTGACTATAAAGATCTGCCAAAGGTGTGTGTGGTCAAGGCTTATTTCCCAGTCTGCAGCATAGTTGAGGTAACACTTTGAGGGTAGAGATTACTGGGAGTTTTCGTGTCATTGTCAGTAGTTGTAGCCTTTGAAGGAAATGTGAGACTCTGGGCTTTCATCTGTCTCTTTTGCTTCATGTTGTGAGTAGCTTTGTTCTACCATATGCTCCCACCATGATATTGTAGCTTACCACAAACTTAAAATGGCAGAAACATTACAACATTAGGGAACTATGGCTGCACATGAAATCTGCTGTTGACTGAAATCAACATACAGGCGTGGCTCTAAATTATATCATGTAACATGAGTATTATATAAGGAATAATATATGCATATTTATGACACTATGAATTAGAATAATGTATAATTATATGTTGAATCAAATACTTATACAGTTAGTGTTATATACATGAACACATACACATATAATTAATACATAATACAGAACATTTAGGAGCTGGAGAGATGGTTCAGCAATTAAGAGTGTGTACTGATTTCCTCTTCTTACCTCCTTGGGTACTCTCATGCACATGCATAGATAGACAGACAGACAGACTTTAGATCAATCTTAAAAACTTAAAAAAGAACACTTAATTAGCAATAGATAACTAGGATTCTTTTAATAATATTCATATACTATTTAAGTATGATATATAATATTTTAATAATATTATAATATATATTATTAAGTAATAATGGTTAGAAAGCACAAATTCAACTGTTTATAGCCTTTTAGCAGCCCATCAATTAAATGAGATGATGAAAGACCCCCATGAGATCTCAATGATTTTTTTTAAGGTAAATGCCATTCTGTGTTCTGTGTTTAAGCATCCTCCCTCACAGTTATAGGAAATCTGTTTTCTCTCACTCCCCAGATAATGCAAAATCAGCAGCTCATTCATTCTTCCTTTCTCCAGTCAGTCAAGGAATTGCAGTGACTCAATAAACATTTGTGGGAGATAGAATGACTTCTCAATAAAAAGGATTTTGCAATCTACCTGCAGACCCACGGCATAAAATGAACAAGACAATCCATGCTTCTGGCAGCAGCAGTTAATAGAGATATGCACATGCCTATTTTAATTGGCTCACCTTCCCTCTTAGGGACACAGCTTCCTGCTCCAAGCACCCTTGCCCTTCTTATGGCTAACAATGCATCAGTAATAGCAGCTGGGCTCCCTTTTGTCCCTCCATGAGCCAGCCACTAAAGTCTTTGTTGAATCCTTAAACCACTCTAACACAATTTTTGTTTCCCATTTGAGCCTCAAAATGGGCATTCAGAGAGGGACTGGAACTGGCCCAAAGTTACGGGGCCTGTGAATGATAAAGCTGCGTGTCCGGACTCTAAAGTCACCCACGCTGCTGTTAGTCTTTCCATCTGTCCAGATGATCATGCAGGCTGCTGACCCAGGACCTAACCTTTTAGCAGTTCAGTCTTTTGGCATCACAGTATGATGCTGTCTAACCCTAACCCTAACCCTAACCCTAACCCAACCCTAACCCTAACCCTAACCCTAACCCTAACCTACAGATGTGTTTGGCTGCATCCATAGTTATCCTCAGATGCATGCAGCCTGTGGGGTACCCATTAGACACACCTATTTCAGAGTCTTGGAGATACTATAGTTCTTGGCCTCAATCTCAAGATTTTACTGGTTTGGTCTGAAAAGCTGGGTATAGGCGTGAACAGGTTTCTAGTCCATTATCACAAGGTTGCTGGAGCTTTCAACCATACCCCAAAACATAGAGAGCAAGAAATCTGGGGACAACCATGAGGAAATGTTTCAGGTCCCCACACTTAAATAACACAAATGCAACACAACACAAGATCCTACAGTAGAAAATCCAGTCATACTAAATAAATGGTTAGAGGAGCAGTAGGATTAGCCTTTGGCATGGTCTATACTGAGTACTTAATAAGCAACAATCTTTGGCTATAGTTTTGGAGATGGGAAGAAGTGCAGAGGAATTCTGGGAAGTCACTTGGTGAGCATTGAAGACATGATTTTAACAGAGTGCAGAGATTTGAGATCCGAATCAGAGACTCAACAACACAAGAAAAGTAAGTGGGTAGCTCACAAGGGACTCTAGAGTGCAGGAGTCATCCACCTAGCCAGTTT